TGTGGCTATAGGGCCAGGGGAGTGGTTATAGGGTCAGGGGAGTGGTTATAGGGTCAGGGGAGTGGTTATTGGGCCAAGGGAGTGGCTATAGGGCCTGGGTATTGGCAATAGGGCCTGGGTATTGGCAATAGGGCCAGGGGAGTGGCTATAGGGCCAGGGGAGTGCTTATAGGGCCAGGGGAGTGCTTATAGGGCCAGGGTATGGCTATAGGGTCAGGGGAGTGATTATAGGACCTGAGGAATTGTTATAGGATCAGGGGAGTGGCTATAGGATCAGGGTATGGCAGTAGGGTCAGGAGAGTGGTTATAGGACCTGAGGAATTGTTAAAGGGCCAGAGGAGTGTCTATAGGGCCAGGAGAGTGGCTATAGGATCAGGGGAGTGGCTATAGGGTCAGGGTATGGCTATAGGGTCAGGGGAGTGGTTATAGGACCTGAGGAATTGTTATAGGGCCTGGGGAGAGGCTATAGGACTAGGGTATGGCTATAGGGCCAGGGGAGTGGCTATAGGGTCAGGGCAGTGCTTATAGGGCCAGGGGATTGGCTATAGGGCCAGGGGAGTGTGCGATATGGGGCGTGTGATATGAAGGTGTGATTCTGGGGGGGTACGATATCGGGGTTTGCGATATCGGGGTTTGCGATATCGGGGTGTGTCATATCAGGGTGCGATATGGGGTTGTGATATCGTGGTGAGATATCGGGGTGCGATATCGGGGTGTGTGATATCAGGTTGCGATATCGAGGTGTAATATTAAGGTGTGCGACATCGGCTGTGCGATATCGGCTGTGTGATATCACCATGTACGATATCGAGGCGTGATATCCAGGTGTAATATCGCAGTGCGATATCGGGGTGTGTGACATTGGGGTGCGATATGGGGGTGTGTGCTATGAGGGCGTCATGTTGTGCTGTGTGATATCGGGGTGTGATATCGGGATATGTAATATCAGGGTGCGATACGGGGGGTATGGTGTCAGGATATGTGATACTGAGGTGCGATATGAGGGAGTGATATTGGGGTGTGTGATATGGGAGTGCGATATCAGGATATGCAATAGGGGCTCTGCGATATCGGAGTGTGATATCGGGATATGTGATATGTGGGTGTGTGATATCAGGGTGTGATACGGGGGGTGTGATATTGGGATGTGATATCGGGATATGTGATATGAGGATGTGATATGGGGGAGTGATATTGGGGTGTGCAATATGGGAGTGCGATATCAGGATGTGTGATATGAGGGTGTGATATTGGGGTGTGTGATATCACGATATGTGCTCTGGGGCTGTGTGCTATGGGGTTTGATATCATGATATGTGATATGGGGTTTGCTATGGGTTTTGATATTGGGATATATGCTATTGGGGTTTGCTGTGGGGTTTGCTGTCAAGATATGTGCTGTTTCTGGGGTTTGCTATCACAATATGTGCTGTTTCTGGGATTTGCTGTGGGGATATGTGCTGTTTCTGGGGTTCGTTATCGCAATATGTGCTGTTTATGGAGTTTGCTGTCAGGGTATGTGCTGTTTCTGGGGTTTGCTATCGCGATACGTGCTGTTTCTGGGGTTTGCTATCGCGATACGTGCTGTTTCTGGGGTTTGCTGTCAGGGTATGTGCTGTTTCTGGGGTTTGCTGTCGCAATATGCGCTGTTTCCGGGATTTGCTATCGCGATATGTGCTATCTAAGGTGTTTGCTATGGGGACACATGCTGTTTCCAGGATTTGCTGTAGGAATATGCACTGTTTCTGGGGTTTGCTATCGCGATATGCGCTATCTATGGGGTTTGCTATGGGGATTTGTGCTGTTTCCGGGGTTTGCTATTCCGATATGCGCTGTTTCCAGGGTTTGCTATCATGATATGTGCTATCTAAGGGGTTTGCTATGGGGATACATGCTGTTTCTGGGGTTTGCTGTTGCGATATGTGCTGTTTCTCAGGTTTGCTATCGCGATATGCGCTATCTAAGGGGTTTGCTATGGGGATACATGTTGTTTCTGGGGTTTGCTGTCGTGATATGTGCTGTTTATGGGGTTTGCTGTCAGGGCATGTGCTGTTCCTGGGGTTTGCTATCGCGATATGTGCTGTTTCTGGGGTTTGCTGTCAGGTTATATGCTGTTTCTGGGGTTTGCTGTGGGGATACACGCTGTTTCTGGGGTTTGCTGTCGCGATATGCGCTGTTTCGGGGATTTGCTATCGCGATATGCGCTGTTTCCGGAGTTTGCTATCGCGATATGCGCTATCTAAGGGGTTTGCTATGGGGATACGCGCCGTTTCTGTGGTTTGCTATGGGGATACGCGCCGTTTCCGGGGTTTGCTGTCGTGATACGCGCCGTTTCCGGGTTTCGCTATCGCGATACGCGCCGTTTCTACGGGGTTTCGTCCCCCCGCAGGCACAACGACAACAAGACGTTCCTGGTGTGGGTGAACGAGGAGGACCACCTGCGGGTCATCTCCATGGAGAAGGGCGGAAACATGAAGGAGGTCTTCAGGCGCTTCTGCGTCGGGCTGAAGAAGGTCGGCCGGGGTCACGGGGTCACGGGGTCA